ATTAGGGTTTTAAGGGCATAGGAGTTCTGTCCTTCATGTGCATCACATGTATTCATCAACATTTTGCATACACTTAAGTATGTGCATTTATGAACTTATAGGAGAAGAATATAAACCTAGCAGTAGTGCAGACAAGACAAGTCCCAAGAAATTTCAATAAAAGATCTGTACGTGACATTCCTCCTAAATTCAGTGTTTTCAAAATAAAGAAAGGAAAATGATCTTATTTTTGAACTACGGTTTTATTTTCTGTATTCTGGTTACATTACTATGAAATTGGAAACAGGAATTATTATTTTGGTACTGTATGGATGTTTTCTTTAAAATGAACTGTTTACCTGGATGATCTGTTGGGCATCCACGTGATATGGTAGTTTCTACATGACCCCTTCAATCCTAGTGGGGGCTGCAGACACCAACCAAGCCATGCTAGTTTGGCCAGAGAGTGGTGACCCTTAGTTCAAGATTACTTGGCCAATGGCGCCCAACAGATTCAACATCAGATATTAGATTCATGGATTTATGTTTTGTCTACGTACATGTTAGATCAGAGTTTTTCTTATGGAGCCAAGTTTTATGCTTTTACTTCTATCATTGGTTTATATATGTGTTTTAGCTAATAATAGATCTGCAGGCTCAACAGTAATATGGTTATGGTTTTAAATGAAACAAAAGGATTAATTTTACCGCAGGATGATGTATATCAAAGCTGTTATGTGAATTTTCTCTATGAATGAGCTTTCAAAGGTTTCCTTTATTTGAAAGAAATTTTGGAATGATTTTATCTAAATAATTATGTAAAAATATTTCTATTTCTCTAATTTTAGTCAAAGGTCCATTCACTGGAACGCAAGTCTCTCCCCATTATCTTATTTTTCCAAGATCAGGGAGTGGTAGTTAGTTGCTGTGACATCTGCATCATCTGCATCATCATTTCAGTGTAGAGAGGTTGGACCTGAGTCTTGACCATGGTTGAGGGTAGATGGGTAGTTCTATTTGTGGTTGGACAACTTAACACAAGTTATGAAATATATATATTGGTAGAAAATTTGTGAACCTATATATTGATGTTCATAATCACAATATTACATTCGGTGCATGTTATGGAGTTATTCCTATATACAGGGTATTGTGGTGTAGTATTCTGACATCAGAATTAAGCTTACAGGCTTACCAGGGTATGATAGTAGAGTAGAGTTTAGCCTTTCTCTTGTGAATCCTGGGGCATAGGAGATGGTTAGATTCTATTCCACTGTCATGCCCCGCTTGAGTCACACAGGGTGGGTGTGACATTAGCTTTCCCCCTTTGACCACCAATAAGCATCTATTTTAGGGAAACAGTGTCTTCTGCAGAGATAGGGAATTAGTATTAGGAGCTATCATGCTGCTTCTGCCTCAGCTGTCTCTTCTCTCTCTTCCTTTTTCTTCTTCCTTCCTTTCTTCTTTCTCTGCAGGTTCTGCTGTTGCAGATCTCCCTTAATTCTCTTCTCTTCTTTCTCTTCTACTTCTTCGCAGGTTCTACTTGCTGCTGATCTTCTTTTCCCTGTTCTCCTCAGTTTCTAACTGTTGATTTCTCCTATTATAATCCATCTCAGTTTAGAATGCTATAACTTCTGCCTTCCCCCTTCTTTAGTTGCTGGTTTCTGTGGCTTATTCTCCACTTTCTTCGGAGAAGGTTTATTTTGTGCGCTGCTTCTAGCCGCAGTTTGTTTGCATGTCTCAAGTTATTTCCTGATTATGCAACATAAGACTTCTTTGAATTTTATCAGTAATGTGGTTAGTCTTAATTTATTGGTCAGACTAGTTAAACAACTTTTACAAACTTCCTGGCTGTAAAATTTTCTGTTAATCTGAAATGATAATGTACATTTAGTTGAAGCCAACATCCATTATTCTATAGAGGTTCTCTAATTGCAACATCTTGAATGATGTAGAGATTTAGGGACTCGACAGGTTTTGGGTTTCTACATGCATTTCCATGCTTTCTAAACCATTCCAAACATTAAGAAGCTGACACATTGCCCCTGAAGGCTCTTTTCATTGAAAGAGGCAGTGAAGATTGGATAATTAATCCCCACCTCCCATATTCCTATGTTTGGCTTAACAAAGTGATTGTTAGCCCACTTTGTTAATGGTGAAGGATTGGACAGAGGGAGAAACAATCCCTCATATGAGGTATTATACAATAGTTCATCCCCCTTTTGGTATCATTAATCCTAATCTTAATTTAAAGGTCTTAAATGCAAGGGTTTCCACTTAATATATATCCTATCCAATCTAAACATAATACAATCTATACAAGTAATACTATGTATTCAACCCTTCTTATCTCATAGATCTGACTACTTAATCTCATCGCTTCAAATTCAACAATACTGATGAAAGTATTCCCAATCCTACAAAATTAATACTGCAAATAAACAAGCCCCCATTCTCTTCCTAGTCTCCCTCTCCATAGTAAAAGTTGGCCTCTTTATCCTCCAAAACTGCTAGCTGTAGCAGACAACCTCTATGATTCCCAGACCCAACCTAGGAAACATCCAGGTCAACTAGATTAACCTACAAACTTATGCAGGTGAAACAGCATGGAATCTTTATGTGTTCGCATTTAGATGAGCAGAATAGTAGACATGTAGAACTTCAGGCTGTGTTTTGGGGTGTTATTGTAGATCTGGCCTCCACAATAAAATCAATAGTTGTTATGGCTCAAGGTGCAAAGTTGCCCTGAAGCCTATGCGCGAAGCGCAAGCAAGGCTTGCTTTTAGGGATTAAGGCACACATTAGATAGTTTTTGGGATATTTTCTATTACTCTACCAAATATGAGATTGTACAAAGTTTCAAACATATCAAATATACACAAAAACATATAATTAGCAAACAAAATATCTCCAAAAGTCCAACCTACTTCTATAAAACATTAAAGCATGTCAAATTAGATAATAGAGAAGATTATTTAGTTAAAAAGTATGTAATTAACATTAAAAATTAAGGAAAATGTTGGGAAAATAAATCAAAATTATATAAAAATACTGAAATAAAACTCCATATCTGGGCTTGCTCAAAAAATGAAGTGCTTGGGAAGATTATACAAACACAGAAAGTTGGGCAAGTGGGGAGCAGAAAATTGCAAGTTAGAAGTGGAGTGAAGAAGAAGTCAAAACTAAAATCAGAAGGGTGATATTAAAGGCCAAGTTGGCTGATGATGTTGAAGCTAATTGACAATGGAGAAGTTGTTGATTGGAGAAGTCAAAGTCGAAGTAAATTGGAGAAGTTGAAGGCACACTCAGCTGCAGAAATTGAAGCCAAACTTGACTGAAGATGCCAAATCCAATGCCAACTGATGATTCAGAAGCCAATGTTGACTGAAGATGTTGAAGCCAAACTCAACTCATGATATAATAGTTGAAAACTTGAAATCGAGTATTGCTAAAGTCAACACTCAAACAATGAAGAGAACCAGTCACTGAAGTCATTGATGCTTCTTATAACTCTAGGGTTTTAATTCAGCCATTACATACCCGAAAAGAACTCCATTACCCATTTTTCTTCGTCAAAAAGCCCAAGAATGCATCAAATCATCTCAGGCGCACCTTACAAGAGCCTTGTGCCTTGCGCCTTTCCTCTCCAGGTGCACCTCGGGAAGTTGACTTGTCTGACCAAGGTCAAGGCACTATGATGGTGCCTTGAGGTGCCTTCCGCCTTAATAGCTCCTTTTTGTGCCTTTAACTACGGTGGAATCAGTTGGTTGGGTCCCAGCCGCACTGCGGGGTGGGGCAGAGTGTTGAGGATAGTGCACTTGAGATTGGTTTACCCAGTGGCAAATCTCAGTGGTTCAAGTCCAGTGACCTCCAACCACGCAAATTTAAACTATAGGCTATAGCACCAAAAATTTTCAGATTTTACACTGAAACCATAATGTGATTAGCTACCAGGTGGGAGGGAAGGTAAAAATTTATGGTACAGATGAACATTTCAAATGTAATAAACCAGTAGAGACCTCAGAATGATAATATAAATAGATGACTAGCACATGAGCCCGCAAAGAAACTTAAAATGACATGTTTCTAGAATAAAGAATTCAGATTTAACAACACTACAAAATTGGGAAAAAGGTGTAGATAGCCACTAAACCGGTTGATTATAAAGACAATTCTCACATTTTAATTTCAGAACTAAGTCCCCAAACTTAAAAAACTTGTTCAATGGGTCTATCCATCCCACTGCCTGTAACCCACTTAATGGACATGAGATCATGTGACAAGAAATGTATTTCTTCTACCTTTTACATAAGGCCCCCTGCCCTATATTTGTAAATCCAACAAGAGGGACTCCATAATGAACTGAGGACCCAGAAGACAAAGGAAAGAAGAAGTGCACTATGAAGGCAAAGTGATTAAAGGAAAATGAAGGGAACCAAAGAATAATTAACAGAAGCAGCTCAAAAATGGCAAATTTTCAGCAGCTCCTAGATTACTCAAAAATTCTAAATTCTCTTAAATCTGATTTTAAAGCTTCAGTTGGAAACTTCCTTAAAAAGTTCCTCTCCTGATACCCTACTTCTCATTGCTGCTTCCCCCTTTGAATGTGTGCACCCCTACTTTATTCAAAGCCACTGATAGACTTGAACTTTGTATTTTGCTTTCGGCTTTGCTTTCAAACCTTTTTTTTTATTCAAATTATGAGATCATATGGTAATGGTCTTGGTGCTTAGGGATTTACAGATCTAGGGTTTCACAGGAGAGATTGTGAGTAATTTCAGGGCCCTTTACGCCAAGCAGAGCAGAGCAGAGCAACCAAGTTCCATATAACCTCACATCCAAATTGGGGTTAATGACAAATAAGATGAAGGGACCAATTGGACAATATTTGTGAGCTCAAGGTCATGATTTCTGAATTTAAAAGCTGAAGTGGTGTCTTGCAAAATGACCTACAGTTTAGGAAGTGCTAATACAATTTTTACTGTAATTTTTTTTTCCTGGAGACCATTTCTTTAAATGATTTAAATTTTAAAGAAATGATATATGCAAAGTCTTACTGAACCAAAATAGCAAGCAGCCAAAGCCTTTGTTAGTTCTGTTTTGCCAACCCCAGTGGGGCCACAGAACAGCATTGCCGCAATTGGCCTCCTAGGATCCTTCAAGCCAACCCGGGATCTCTTAACAGCCCGACAAATAGCAGAAACTGCCTCATCTTGGCCAACAACCCATTTCCTAAGCTGCTTGTCAAGACCCACCAGACGCAATCTCTCATCAGCAGTGAGCTGCTGAACTGGAATTCCTGACCAAAGTGAAGCAACTGCTGCTATTTCACCAGGTCCAACCACCATACATCTGAAAGTTAGAAAGCAAGAAATTCAGTTAAAAATCTATGCCAGGAAATTCAAGTTTAAAATGTGTATGATTTGACCACACAAATGAGAGTAAGCATACTCATCATCAGTAGATGTGCCAGGCAAAGAGCTATCCAGAAGTTTGGCATTGTCTTCAATGTTAGAAGTGCCATCACCTATATTAATATTACTTGCTTGGACCTGCTAATGTAAAAGTACAAGGAAGACAGCATTAGAAATATAGAGTTTTCTTCCTTCAACATACATGAGATAGAGGGCCTCAAAACAATATATTTACCATTTCATGCATGGCCTGAACAGCCCTAATCTCTTGCCAGTAATCATATGGTGACTTTGAAAGTATGCAAGTTTGCTGCTCCTTTCTCTTTTTGAAAGATTCTATACGAGCTTTACTTCCAGCTTCATCAATGAGATCAATAGCCTTGTCTGGAAGATGCCTATCTGGAATGTACCTTGCTGAAAGGTGCACTGCAGCATTTAAGGCCTCTAATGTGTACTTACATTTGTGATGGGCCTCATATTTTTCACGCAAACCCAACAGTATCCTGACTGCATCCTCCTGTATATTTGTGTAGAACATCCATATAATAGTTGGTAGTATGAAATATATATTATATGGTGACAATGGGAAAAATGGAAAGAACTAACAGATTATGTTACCTGACTTGGTTCATTAATAATCACAGGCTGGAACCTTCGTGCCAGTGCTTTATCCTTTTCAAAATGGATCCTGTACTCGGTCATAGTTGTGGATGCAATACACTGCAAAAATTGGAATTACTGTTCAATATAAATATCATAGCATAAGATAAGAAACACATCAAAAAAGCATGGGACTGTGAAATAGTGCAAAATTAATTTTAAAAACATCTATAGACCTGTAATGCCAAGAACATGAAATGCTCCAGTACACGAAACTGGAAACATAAAGCAACAATTTACGTGCTTAAAGACATGATATGATTGGGGAACACTTTTATAGAGTATAAATTATAATTAATTTGTTTTTAAAAGCAATATTATTTTAATTGTAATGTATAGAATAAAATATGAATTGTTCTTTCTTCAAAGTAACCATATAAAAACAAATTTATTACTGTAGCCCAACCATGTTCCTTTGCCACACAAAATTTTAATTACCCAAGATTTTATTTCATTCTATTTGACGCTTTTCCTCCTAAGGAGAACTTTAAGGAAATATAAGGGCAAAACTTGTTGGGTCAGTTGGATTGCTAAATATGTCATTTGGTGAGCTAAAATGTACCATTAGAAAACCAAAAGTCCGAATATAGAAAGAAAAGATGAAGCAAATAGCATAACTCAGGCAGTAGCAATACTTTAGACACACATTGCACCAGCTAAGAGAATTTTAAAACCTTTGATTTTATCAACATGTAACTGAAAATCTTAACTAATGAAGTAACAAGCTTAAAGAGAGAAAAACAAGATGTTAGCCCAAAAACAATAATTGAGGTTGGTAGAGAAATTAATTCAGGATATTTAGAAATCAGGCATGATTAAGGCATGTTGTGATCACAAGGAATTCAAAGATGGAAGCATGCAAGTACACAAGGATCATTCAATATTTGTTTCTAATGTAGGACACATACAATGGCTGTTCGTGCGCTGTTTTATTTTATGGGCGGCAAAAAGGATCCATTGAAAATAATATGTTGGCTATATTAAGTATGGAATATTAAAAAGAAGCAAGGGAAAAAATAAATCACATCCAGTACTCTCCTATAGGCCTTTGGCACTACATCTATGTATTCCAAGCAATAAATAGTACTTCTTACAAAGAGTATACTATAGAATTTATCTCATCCAGACATACAAAAGGCAGCAGTTAAGTACGACAGGCATAACCCAGCCTGCCATACCACATTATCTAATTCAAGTCCAGCAACAAAGTGAAGGTGTTAACTACAGAACTTTTCCACTTAGCTTATACATAAAGAGAAAAACATTGACCCTATGCATTTATTTACATTATCAGCAGTCACATTACCTGTAATTCACCCCTCCCAAGAGATGGCTTAAGTAGATTTGCTAAGTCAAGGCCAGACCCCTTGCTTCCTCGCCCAACTGTTCCCGAACCAATAAGTGTATGGACTTCGTCAATAAAAAGAATGATGTTGCCTGCAATGCCATTATCAATTGCTCAGCTCTGTTTGTGTGTGTGTGTGTGTGTGTGAGACAGAGAGAGAGAGAGAGAGAGAGAGAGAGAGAGAGAGAGAGAGAGAGAGAGAGAGAGTGGGTGTGTGTGTGAGACAGAGAGAGGGAATTATAAATAAAAAATCTCATCGGAAATGTATCTCAAATATTGTCCACCTGACTTCTTTACTTCTTTTATCAATGCAGTAACACGTCCTTCCAACTCTCCCCTCTCCTTTGCCCCAGCAATTAATAGACCAATATCCAAAGACATAATGCGCTTTGTCTGGGCACAAACAATAAAGACAAATTAAATGGTTATACAGAATTGCCTTTGGAGAAGAAACAGATGCACGTGAATGAAATTAAGAAATCTGATATATTTAACAACATCCATTTGTTACTGTGGAGAAAACTAACCATTAGAAAAATGGGAACATTTCCTAAAGTAATATTAATTGCCAGCCCTTCAGCAATGGCTGTTTTCCCAACTCCAGCTTCCCCAAGAAGAATAGGATTATTTTTTGTCCTCCGGCAAAGTATTTGGACAATTCTCTGAACTTCTCTGTCACGGCCAATCACTGGATCAATGAGTCCATCACCAGCTCGAGCAGTAAGATCCATACAGAATTGAGCCAATGCACTTTTATCTAACATAAGAAGAAATCCAGTAAGCAATCAACAAAAGAATTGCCTCTATTCATGATGTCAGAATATCAAGGGAAGAGGAGGAAAATTGAAACTTTACTTCTTGTTTTCTCAGAGGATCTAACAACAGAAGCTTTTGAAGAAAGTAAATTTTCCCTTGGCCGTTTTGGTGGAGCAGGCAGTTCTCTACCATCTTTGGCAAGCTCTCCCTGTAGTCTTGACACTGCCACAGCCGCCAACTGACTAACATTTGCCCCTAATCTGATGTCATATTAGTCTAGGGGAATAAATAGCAAACTACCAAATTACTCAGTTCATCCTACCACATATATTTCTGCGGAAACATCTAAAATGCAAACAGAAGGGCTTCCATTACTTGCATATACTAAAGACCTGTTATTAATTGAAAATTTGAAAAGATTAAAAAGTAAATGTGATTACTAAGGGGTTGCAAATTCTGTATCATAAGAAAACATTTGTAAGCATAGTGCAACAATCCTCCTTCCGCTAAGTCTTCTCTCTACAAATTTTAATCATTGGGTCTTTTCATGCAATGATTTATTGGTTCATTGTTGTGCCCCGTGCCCTTGGGCTTCATCATGCCTCAAGGCTTCACCCTGGACCAGAACAGAGTCTGTTGGCCTTAGAACACAGACCAGTTAAAAAAAAAAAAAAAAAAAAAAAAAAAAAAAAAAAAAAAAAAAAAAGAAGAAAGGTACTCAGTTCATCTCTCCTCAAAAATAGAAATTTACCCAACAATAATTACAAATTCAAGATCAAGTCTCCCAGATCATTAAATTTCAATATTTCCAAAATGAATATCATTTGTCTCTAACAAAATCATTAATCCTTGCCCTATCTCAACTGCTACTCACTAGAGATTTCCCCGTAGGATAACCTGCAATTCAATGTAATGGAAGGGAAAAGAACAAAGTGAGCCACAAAGCTCACTGAGTCATTGCAACACTATAGCAGATAGTCGATGATGATGATCTTGCCTGCATCACGAAATGTCTCAAAGATGCAATGTGGGAATTTTCAGATTTATCTTGCAAGAATAACAGTTATTCCATAATCATACACATGAAATCATATCATATTCAGGGATTATTTTAGATTTGTCAGCCCAACTCAAGACCTTCATCCAAAGGCTGCTTTCTACCAAAACTGGGCATCAAATTGAATAGGATTGGCCCAACTTGAGGCCCTCAATGCAGAGGTCGCATTAGGCCCAGCACAAGAAGCCACTGCCATTAGTTCATGCCTTACCATTGAAAGGTGAGGGTGGTTATCATCTAGCAAGGCCCATTTCCCAACATAGCCACAATCATATCACAGTAAAAATCATATTACACAGATATCACAGTCCTTATCCACATATTACAAGGTTACAAACTCATAAACTCAAGTTCATGAGTTGAGGAACTCACTACATTCATATGGAAGTGAGGTAGAGGAACTCACAAGTCTAACTCTGTGAGTTAGGAAACTAAATTGGTGAAGATTAAGTCCCTGGCACAAATGCCCTCTTCGATTTACTTTATTGAAAAGAGTAGATTCTAGGCCTTAGAAATCATTTGCCAAAGAGTTTAAAAGAAAACTCAACCTTCCAAGATCCAGAAAAGATCAATGTCCAAATCTAACCTTAACATTCTGACCGCATTCATAAAGTTTTGCTCATACCAAGCTAACATAGCAGATTAGGCATCTGCTGCACAAGGTAGGCAGTCAAGGCATTGGGTTAGATGGCCAACAAACTAAACAGGCTAGTCCTTCAGGCTATACAGATACCCTGCAAACTTGTCATCAACTAGCTCTATAACTGACCCAAAACTCCCCCAAAAGTTAATATACAAGTGATAGGAAGCAACATTAAGGCATTACCTCTTTCGATGACATCTTTTCCAACAAAATCTTGGTGGGTGGAGCCCTTTCTTCTTCCATTCAGATCTCTCTCTCTCTTTCTCCCTCTCTCTTTCTCTCTAATTTAGATCTCACACAATCTCCTCTTTCTCTATCCTCCCTTACATAGCCAATTCTTTATCTCCCTCCATCAAATCCATCAGATCCAATGTGAAGATTTTGGATGGTAGAACAAGCAAATCAGATCCTCCATTATATCTTGATCTCTTGAGCCAAGAGCTAGTCATTTCCAGATTCTCCCTCAACCCAATAGACAAAAGGGGCCATCCCACTATTTCAAAATTCTTCTCGTGCCAAATGGCCAAATTGGTTCAACCTATTAAACCAATTGTCGGCTGTTTAGTGAGTTGTCCCATCCATCTATTCAAAGAAAGTCATAGGCCATCAAAAATTCTCAAATCTAGTTCAGTTCAGTCATCTATCTTTTAAGTGTCACTTACAGGAATGCAGATGAGACAGCTAACTCCTAGGCATGGGCATCTAACTTAACACAGTAGTTTTTTGGAATATGGTTTAGGCAGCTAACCCCAGCAATAGACGCTTATAGTCAAATAACCTCTTATTAAACAGAAAATAAAGTCAGCCTAAATCGCTGAACTATAAAAAATGTTCAGTCCATTACTCAATGCTGTCAAATATAATTGATCCTGAAAGCCACCACCTCTTCATCATTTAGATTAACAAGACTAGTGGCAACAGCAATATACTATACTACAATCTCATAAAAGCAATCAACTTATGAAAATCTAGCATGCACCCCATTGAGAATCCTTAAAGTTGGTTACTTTAGGACATCTAACCCTTCAAGTTGCAACCTGCATATGGCATTTCTTTTTTTCTTTCAGTTTGTTACACATTTCATGTTTATCCCAGGCTAAATACTTATTTATCTGTACTGAAGAAGCAACCATTTTTATAGAATGATGATTGATGGATGGACAAATGTTTTCATGTGGTGACAAGCCCATGCAAATAAAATTTTGAGAAGCATTTATACAATTGGAATGTCACTAAAGAATCAAGCAGCCTACATTGGGTGTTTTGTTGGCAAAAGTTCAAATTTTTATTTTTTTTAAGCGGGCTTGCCCATAAGCTTCTCATAATGAGCTTTAAAACTACTACAGGTGACTTTTTAAAATCAAAAACATCAGTAGCGAACCCAAATGTTCATTCTAACTGATGCATAGAAATACCCACAAGAAAAGCTCAAACTTTTATCAAACCAAATAGCCTGTTATTAACTAAACCATTTCAAGATTTTTGGATGCCCCACCCCGTATCCCTCCAAAATAATTATGTTTTGTATGGTCACAGATATATGTCCCCAAAGTTCGTACAATCGGAATCTTGAATAAGGATAAAAGACTTAATTGAAACATTTTCACAAATTTTAGATGCCCCATCTTTTAGTAGTGGCGGATCTACAATCCTCGTAGGGGACGGTGGAGCAAAATTTTGAAAAAAATAATCACTTAAATATACTAAATATAGCTGTAATCTTGAAAATTTTAGATTTTGGTTCAACATTACAAAGTTTGACTCGAGAGCCTTTAAAATTTTAACGTAGAAAAGGCTTTAGGTTTAGTGCTATTGTTTCCATTAATTTTAAGAGTTTACCCTCATGCATATACATATATTCCTCAGTTTAATTTAAAAAATAAACAAATAAATAAGAGGAGGAAAATCTGGATAACGACCACGACAATGAAAATCTGGATAAAGCAGCTAAACAAATGGAGTATAATAAAATGAGCATAAATAGGGTAAAAGATATAATGTAAAGGTAAAATGAGATATAAAATTTTAAAATGTTAAACTTAGAATTATATAACATAAGTAAACACAAATATCCCCTCAAATAGAGAAAAATGAAAAATCTGGATCTACCACTGTCCAGCGATCTTCTGACTTGGTGCATGTGACACAAATCAAAAAGTTAATAGATAAGGTTATGCAGTTTAATATTAATAGCATTGTGGGTTCTATGACAGGTGTTTACCGCCTAGAATTAGGTTATGTTCTTCAGAAATTGTATGGCCATGTATGATAAAGGATCAATGAATAAAACAATCAAATACGGAAAACAGAGGATGGCTAGTCTGCCAAATACGCACCCAAGGAGATACTAGGATAAATGCACAACAACGTACCTCTTGAGGACACGAGCTGCACTGCCGTCATCAACAGTGAAAAGGCCAATAGCAATATGCTCAGGCGCAATGAAATTATAACCCATGGTCCTTGAATACTCAACTGCTGCTTCAAACACCCGCTTTGTGCTAATAGAAAATGGGATATCACTGGCTGAAAATAACTCCGAAGTAGCCAAATTCTGATCACTACTTTGATCCTTGTGCCAAATGCTGCGAACCGCATCGCGAGCCATGTCAATGGTGATGCCAGAACAAAGAAACCCATCCGGAGCGCGGCTCTCGGCGATCAAACCCAGCAAAAGATGCTGCGTAAACACCATGTCCTTCCCCAGAGCCTTGGCCTCCCTTTGGGAGAACACCACTGCCTTAATTGCTCTCTCCGTGAACCGTTCGAACACCGCCGCTATTACTAGCACAGATCGCTTTCGAGATGATGATAGATTAAGAGAATTGAAGGACCTTCTGGGTGAGATTAAAATGCCCGAGTAAGACGAAGAAGTGCTACCAAAGGAACGTAAAGGAGCAGAAATGCTGGGTGTATTTATAGTGAGAGAGACAGGGCGATTTGGGTACAGGAAGGGGATCTTTCGGCGGCAGTCAACGGATGCAGAGAATTTGGCGGAGAAACGGTGATGATGGGGCCAAGAGAATGAAGGCGGAGCCAAGTCAATCCTCGAGTGGGCTGAGAGCGGCGTACATGACGACGACCCTTCCATTGAGAGACCGTAAATTCCAGCAAGTAGAATTTCCAGAAGCCGAAGAGAAGTCAACGAGAGGAGGAGAAGAAGAAGAAGAAGAAGAAGAAGAAGGGATTTTACAAGGATGGGGGGAGAATTTTGGGTGAGGACAGAAAGGAAAAAGGAGTAGGAAAGAGGGAAGGAAGGAATAGAAGAAAGACTGCACGTAAAAGCCACCTTTTCTTGATTAGAAATTTAACGTTTTTCTTGTGGAATCTACCCAACAGTATAGTCAAATTTCGAAGTGTTCCAACCTTTCTTAACTTTGTACACAAATCACCCTGCAAAAAGGAAAAGAAAGGATTGCCTGTGCCTCAGAAGATTCGAAGAGCCTTTGATTTGAGGAAAAAAGCAGACAAAAACAAAACGAACGGGGAAAAGGTCCATTTTGCCTCTTCTTTCTCCATCTCTGGATTCCGTTTCTGGTTCCTTTCTTCCCCTAGCCGTATCAATAGAAGTCGAGGAAGTATTCTTGGCCCAGAAACAGACGCATCCTCCCTCCCCATTTCCCTTATCACTGGGAGTGTGCTTCGTTCTCTTCTTAAAGTTAATTTTAGAATAAGTCGAATAATTGAAGGACTAACTTTTGTTGTTAATATTAAAAAAATGTTAAAACCGCATATCTTACAAATTGTTTATGGACCTATTCCATAAGTGTGTTGTCAGAAAAAAATGACACTACCACTAGGAATGACGTTGGTTTGAAGGGATATTGGGCTTTGCCATTTCCACCTTGGCAAACTAGATTCCGGCGACTTCTACAATCGATTTTACCATTTAATGGTCGGATTAAGTTGAATGAAGACACATCATCCTCTACAGAGTTTTGGCAACCTCTGATCTTGGTCTATGGACACTAGATTTGTGGTGGTTGTTTAGGTGGTTGATCCATACTAGATCATGCAATTTCAGACAACCCCACTGTTATTATGCAATTAGATGGGATCATATATAGTTGATACATAAACTGAAACACCTGTCCTTATAATTAAAAAAGGAAAAAAATAAGAGGAGTCGAGAACCCCACTTAGCTAAACACCCCTTTCACTTTCCCTTCCTCTCTCTCTCCCCTTTGCTCCTCTCTTTCTACTCCTTCACCCTCCATCGCTCACACTGCCCCTGTCCCGCACATATCTTCCACCACTGTCACACGCCATGTGTTGATGATCATAGCTTGCGTGCTTTGTCTCTAGTGAGTTCTCTCTCTCCCTCTCTCTTCTCTCTCCTTTTCTCCTTTTGTTTCTTTCCTGCCACCCGTCGTAAGACAGCCAACCGCTGGCCAGTGAGTCTCCTTCCTTCCTTTTCTCTTTATCTTCTTTGTTTTCTACTCCTTTTTCCATCACATCTAGTGTCTTTTGGGCCTAAGTGTTTCTCTACTTTTGGATCAATGTGCAAGCAAGGCAAGCTGCAACTTCGGGACCTTTCTCCAGCAATAGGTGCCTCTAAAGCGCAGATCTAGCCATTTGGGGGGCCCTTTTGCTCGTCTTCCCTCTTTCCTCCTCTAGAGTTGTGACACCAGTGACCTGTCACTATCAATCTTGGCCTTTATTTATACAACAGGTGAGTTTTCCTGCCTTCCTTTTCAAGTTGTCGTTTTGTTGTCCTCCACTTACTGTTGAAGAATCTTGCAGATCTCACTAGTTCGTTTCTTAAAGCATACTCCGTGACAACCCTTTATGCTACACTCTTTAGGTCCTTGGTGAGAGTGGAGTGTGAACATCTAAGTGTGTAATTTCTTTGGTTGTATAGGTTCCTTGAAATGTGCGCTTTGGGTACTAGGGATCGTGCGACAATATAAACTTCAGTTTCATGCTTAAAAGTAGTACTGTAAGTAATAATACCTATCCTTAATATGTATTTTTATTTTAAAACGTTCTTTATGTGAATCATATATTTTCTAGTTTCAAACATCTCATGATGCTCAATGATTCCAAATGAGAAGCATGTATTAAAAATTGGTTTGATAAATTATGTTTGTATACTTTAACCTTTGGGTGATTGAAAATAAGGACAAGTATCTTAGAAAAGATGTTTAGATCTTCTAAATTTTTTGGATTTTATTTATGCATTGAAATAGCTGACTTTACTTTATGTAAATTGTGAAAATTCGATAGATGTGTATTTTTTTTTTCCTAAAATTCTGACAAGAGAACCAATTACATGATTTGAATTAAATCCTTGTGCTAGAAGATTGTGATATCCTCAGTTAGTAAGAGCGTTATTAGCCTTGGTGCATGTTTATTAAAACCCTAACTGGCAAGGGTAATGATACTAGCCTATCGTGTTTAGCCCACACGTACGATTTCGATTATGATTGTGATATTATTGAAGGTCTTAGAGCCCACTTCTGTGATCTGATTGAAGGCCTTAGAGCCAAATTCTATGATAGTGATAGTCCCATGCGATTATCGAGCTATATCATTTATTGTAACGTGTATGACATTCTCCAAAATAATGTTTTACATCAAATAACTTGATACGTTTAGAAAAATGATTTCTAAATATTTTTGATATAATGTTTGCCCTGACATATTAACTATATGTATTATTACTCACTGAGTTATCAAACTCACCCATTTCTTAACATTTCAAATCCTTGTGCAAACTTTTTCCCTAGTTCCAGTTGATTTCTCGAGATTTATAACCATATGGTGAGCCTGACATTTTATGTGAGCATTGTTTTGTATAACTATATGATAAGTTTTGTATTGTATTTATTGTTCTCTTGTAAACTTTGGTACTTGTACTCTAGATAATTCCACTAGTACAAATAGGTTCCTTTTTGTATAACTCATGCTTTGTGCTGTAAATTTTTGCCTTAATGAATTATAAACAACCTAGGTTAATTGTTAGGAAATTACAAATTGTGATTTTGCCATATTTGAAATTTTGACTTATGTCCAGTTTTGGGGGAGACTTTGTTAAAATTTTCTCAAATTCCCGTATTTGAACAATTTTTCATAGTGATTCTTAAGGTTAAGGTGGAACTAGGTTGTTGTTTTTGCCTTGTGTTGATTACATGCTCAGTTTTTGGAATGTAACAAGTTGATATAATTAGGTCTTTCTATCGTTAGTGGAGCACAGTCCTTTAGGAGTGTTACAATTATGATTATGTAGTTGACCATTCTCATAATCGAGTGATTACTAAAGTCTTGTCAGGATGTAGTCAACCACTCTCATAACTTACTTTTTCTGATTCCACATGCTTCCAATGGTTATTCTTTGACTTGTGTCCTCATGACTCTATTCTTGTGTGGACTTATTAGGCAAATTTGTCCCCCTTCGATAGGAGTTCACTCTGATCAACTTAAAAGCCCCGAAAGGCCTAGCCTAGTGATGGACAAACTACCCTCCCATCCAGTGCAAGGGAGGCATCATGATGGAGACCACAGCCATACTAGAGGTCGTATTATGACCGATAGTCGGACTAGAAGGCCTACTAGGGGGGAGGATGTGGCTCCTCCTTTAGTCATTTCAGATGTTCTGACTAGCAATCTTGGTATAAGAGTAAGCTTTGGGGGAGACCTAGTTGCTCAGCACTCCTAACGTGAGATGAGTTTTCCCATGTGCTCATAGGCGATTGATACCTAGCACCAAGCAGGCTGAGCTGGCAAGAGAGTTTGAGTGGCTAGTTCAATCACTAGATATGACGGTTTAGTAGTATGATGCTCAGTTCTCTAAGCTCTCTCATTATGCTCCCTAGCTGGTCACTGATGAGACTTCATGAGCCACGAGGTTCATTAGGGTTTGTTGTGCCCTTATGCCTGGGCTTTGACTTCACACATAGGGACTTTCACTTATGCCGAGGCAATGGCAGCCGTTCATTCTCTTGAGATGATGGGAATTGCAAAGAAAGTTTTCAGTGGGATGAGCAAAAAGGCCAAGATGGCAAGATCTTTTAGTAGTGGCTCTAGTTCTCATAGGGGATGCTTGTCTCATGGCCATCAGTGGGCTTCTTCGTCTAGTGGATATTGAACAAAACACTCTTTAGCTAGTGCCACCACCTCACACAATGTACCTAAGGGCAACGGTTAGACTAGTCTAAGTGGATTTAAATAGTCGAGTCAGTCTACGTCCCCTTGCCTTACTTATGGAGGGGCACACACTAGACATTATCAGTAGTAGACTGGAGCTTGTTTCAAGTGTAGCCAATAGGACCACTTAATGATGGATTGTCCGCAGCTTAAAGACCAGGAGTTCACACACTCGATTGGGTCAGGTCAGCCTCACTAGTTGCATTATATAAGGGATTCACCCACTTCTTAAGGTTGAGGTTCAGGTGTTAGAGGTTAAGGCTAGGCAAAGAGAGGCCTGGCTCGTGTTTAGGCTTTGACTTGATAGGATGCTCAGGCATCCAATGCAGTGGTGGCATGTATGATATCAATTTGTTCACATGTGACCTATGCTCTTTTTGACTCGGAATCCAACCATTCTTATATATCTCCATGTTTCTCTACATAGCTTGGTAGGTTACTTGATTTGCTAGACCATCCTTTCTCTATGGCCGCCCTAGTATGGGAATTTGTTCTTGTGGCTTATGTGTATGAATCATGCCTAATCGCTATTAGAGAAAGGGATTTTATCATCGATCTTATTCTTATGGATATGATAGAGTTAGACGTCATACTAGGGATGGACTAGCTAGCTTCTTGTCACGCTACACTTGATTGCCACCTAAAAATCGTAAGCTTTAATGTGCCTAGTGAGGCACCACTACTATTTCAAGGTGACTATAAGATGTCCTCAATTCATGTGATTTCATTTTTGAGGGCTCAGCGATTGTTGAGTAAGGGATGTCAAAGATTTCTAGCTGTGGTATGGGATACTCGAGCCGAAAAACCTAATGATGAATGGGTGCCAGTAGTCAACGAGTTTCATAATGTCTTCCCTGAAGAGTTAACAGGTATTCCTCCTAAGAAGGATATCGAGTTTTACATTGATCTACTTCCTGGCACTTAGACTATATCAATGCCCTTACT